CAGATATAAGGAATCTTTTTGGCTTTATATATGCAGGTAAGAAACCCTTAATTCTGTTGATTAATGTTATTTGACAAGATGACTGGACAAGAAATAATAATACAGAGTAATGTATTTTCTTTGCTAGTAGGTTCTTTTTTAAAATGGAATTCTCTTGATGTGCACTTTCTGTAGAGTACTACTTGGAGAGGTTGCTTACTTAGTGTTTTCTATGTATTGTGTCTATGTAGTATAAGTTATAATTGATGTATAATATTTTAGAATATACTTTTTAAACTAGTTTAGTTGGTATGTTTCTTTTAAAGGAATGGTAGAATTTTATGGATAGAAAATACTAAATACATTATTCACCAAGTAGCAGGTGTAGAGTAACTTTGACTTTTAAGACCAATTGCTTTTCTGGAGGAAAAAACTTAGCCTTGGGTAAAACCATTGCATTCATGTACAGCTTGTAATTAATTGTATTGTAGTTGGGTGAAACTTCAGGTTGATGAGCTCTGTAAAACCTCACTCAATTTTCTGATTTAAGGGGTGGTTTTGGAGAATGAGTCTTTGAAAAGGGTAAGAAGCAGTAAGAATACTTAAAGTTTTCAAAGCACTTTGGGATCTGTTTTAAGTTTTTTCAGGTAAAGCTGGATTTGTATGAGAGTGAAGATGGTGAGCAAGTTACACCACAAACCTGCAGGAGAAACAACAGGAATGACGCAAGCTGTTGTAAACTTTGTCTCCTGCAGGGAGAACGTATTGCTGAACTTTCCCTGATCTACATCAACAAGGGATGTAATGTGCCATGGCTAATATGCAGAGATGCACTTGGAAGGTGAAAAGCATTGTATGGGTTGCAAGACCCTGTCTTTTCCTCGTCAGTTGCAAAATTGAAATCTTCCAAGCTGTGTGTAACTTGGAGCTGGTGGCTCACATAGTTGGAAGTTAGCTAAAATTCACAGTTGTTGCTATGCTTTATTCACCAAACACAAGTTTCACTGCTCTGTGGGGAGACAGATTTTGGTTTAGACTGTCCAATGGAATCTGGAATCTCAGTGAGGAGCTTAAGCTGCCTTTTATTTTTCCTCCATTTCTGCTCTACAACTTCAGCATGGATATTAACTGAATTGTGAAAAATTGCCCCATGTCAGTCATGATGGCTAACGTTTATTTCCAGGAAATCTGGAAGTACCCATGTGGCTGACATTTTGGTCAGCATACTCCAAAACCAGAGAAATGCTGTATAACCATGAAGGCAAGAAAGGATGTGTCAATTTTCTCACTGTTTTTACTACCTGGGCTTTTCATAGGTTTTGATTTGGAAGAGGGTATTGTGAAGGATAGCAGATGCTAGATCTGACAGATGTTTCTGGCTTCCTTGAGGCAAGGTGCCAGCTGGGCTCTTGCTCAAGTGTCATAGCAAATGATGTTGTGGTTTGGTGGTGGTTTGGTTTTTTTGTTTTTTTTTTTTGTTTTTTGAAAGATTTTGGGAAAGCTCTGTCCCTCCCTCTTGCCTTCTTGACTGCAAGGATGTGTTGCTGCCTCATGTTCAACTTGGTGACCGCAAGGACCCACAGGTCCTTTTCTGCCAAGCTGCTTTCCAGCTGGGTGGCTACCAGCATACATCGGTGCCTAGTGTTGTTCTTCCCCAGGTGCAGGACTTTGCACTTCCCCTTGTTGACTGTCATGAGGTTCTTGTCAGTTCATTTCTCCAATCTGCCAAGGTTCTTTTGGATGATTGCAAGGTCTTCTAGTGTATTTGCCACTCTTCACACTGCAGTGTCACTATCAAACTTGCTGAGACTGCACTCTGCCCCATCATCCAAATCATAAATGAAGATGTTAGAGGATTAGACCCGGTATTGACCTCTGGGGTACACAGGTGGTTACTGACCTCCAATTCAAGTTTGTGCCACTGGTCACCACATTCTAGACCCAGCCGTTCAGCCTGTTTTCAATCCACTTGACTGTTTGCCCGTCCAGCCCCGTACATCATCAGCTTGTCCATGCAAATATCAAGCATCAAAAGTTTTTCTGAAGTCAGTAGACAATATCCACTGCTCTTCCCTCATGTTCCAAGCCAGTCATTTCATTGCAGAAAGTTAACGTGCTGTAGAAGCTGGAAGGCATTTAAGCCACAGGAACCTGCAGATGAAGAAGTAACCTTTAACTGCCCTGTACATTTCACTGTTCCGTAATTGGGTAGAATTGCTGCCTCAGTCTATTCCTAAATGCAGGGCACTACAATGTGATTTAAACTACTACTGTTAGCTACAAATATAATCAGTCCTTCACCTTTCATGGAACACCTGAGAATAGATTTGTGTATGTGTGACTGAAATGTACTGGTTATGTCCGTTCTGTCAACTTTATAACAGATAAGTTTGCCCAGTCATTGACCTTGCATCTCCCCAGCTTGGTATTGAGACCCATGTAATCTCTCTGTTTCTCAATTTCCTCATATATGTAGAGCTGGGGTAACACTGAGTATCACAAAATTCATTTTAAAGAGGAATGCAAGTTTTATGAAACACTTGGATGCATGGAGAATAACTGGGGAAATGCACATGGGGAAATCCCAAGCTTCTCGAGTGCAGCATGTGGAAGGTATGCAATAAGTAAAATGACTGGATGTATCTTAAACTTGAATGCCAAGCTTTTAAAAGATATCTGGAATAATGATGTGTTTCTTCAGCAAGATGGGAATTTGGAGTTGCACGTTCACATAGGATTGTATCATAGTAACTATATAGAAAAGAACCTAAGGTTTCCTGACTTCTCAGTGCTTTACTAATGAATGGGATATTCATTAGTTTTGTTTCAGTTGTACTTACCAGCATATCCTTCCTGCTTGCAAAAGGAAGTCTTTGTGATATCTTGTTTAAATACAGCATAAATGTTTTAAAACATAAACTATATGAGGTAGAAACTGCTGTTTTCTTCCATCTGAGGGTCTGGACCTAATAACACAGGGTGTTTCTTATCCTAACAAAGTAGGTATTCCTGCTATGGATAGCACTTTATGAAAGCTGTATTTAGATTCTTTTGCAATTCTGTTTATTTTAGACTATTTTATATATATATGTAGTATATATATACTATATATGCCATTATAGATATAATATATATAAATATATATACTATTATATATAATATTTTATATAATATACTGTGAATAGACTACTGTTAATGAATACATGATCTTGTCAGTGGGGGTAAAATGAGATGCTCTTCAAGAGAACTACAGTGTGTTTTTTTTCTTGGCTGCTTATATGGTATCTGTGGCTGAGCATGTAGTTATCTGCACATAATGAGTTACTTTTAATCTGGGGTTGTTGAGCATGTAAATCAAGAGGTTGGTAAAGCTGAAAATCATACTGAATTTTTAGTGAATGGAAGAACTGGGACTGATTGCAGTGTGGGCAAATAGAACCCACATACTCCTCATCTGTGTGAAACCTGGGTTTTGTTTGTTGGGATTTGGGGGGTGGTGGGGTGGGAAGGTTTTCTTAAAATATCTGAGAAAAATTTTAATTCCCAAAATTTGAGAGTTCTACGTTGTACCGCGTTCCTGATACCTGCAGTCCTCTATGTACCCATTTCATTGTGTTAAATTATTTCTCTTGCTGAAATAATTTAATATATAAGCCAATTATTTTGTAATTTTGTTGGATTCTGATTATACTTTCGTACCAATTAGCCATCCAATATAATACTGTTTCTGGATTATTAATATTTATGAAAACAGAAAAGAATCTGTTGCTAAAACAGGCACCCTAAACATGTTTGATTTGTTTTATTTTGGGGCTTTTTTCCCAAAAAAAGAATGTGTGGTTTAATGAAGCTACTGATATATAAGGTAATCTGTAATTTGGAGGTTGGGTGTTTTAACATGTGACATGATTTATATTTAGCACAACTCCTAATTAAAGGTTAAACTGCAAGTGTTCTGTACAGCAACTTTCAGATTAAAGAGTAACTTCCAAGACTTAGAATTATTTACATTGAGACTTTTTTTGGCAAAAATACTTATTAGGAAAGGAAGGAAAAGCATGTTCCAAGGTCTTCCTGTAGTGTCCCTCACTGTTTCACACAAGTCCTAGTCATGATTTTCCATTTGGTGTATGAATTCTGAATGTCTAGTATGGTCTGCTGTAGGGGTTGCACATTAGTCTTGTGAACATGACACATGCGGTTGATTACATTACCATGAATGTTTCCCAAGTTATCTGGAAATCTTCAAGACTGCGAAGTTCATACATAAAGTCCTACGGGATTAGTTAAGTTGCTGCTGGCATTCTCCATTCTTTTTAACTGTGAAGAATGTCTGCCAGGTTTTGTGAGGTGTGCTGGCAAATCAGTTCTCACTAGTGTGCAGATGTACATGTTAAAAAGGCCGGGGAATCCCAACCCTGACCTGAAAAAATTACGTGTGAAATTAAATTTATAATACTTGTGTAAGGTGGTTCTTAATTTGCTGAGGATCAGCTTCCACAAGAGGCATGAAGGCATCCTCTTCCTTTTTCACTTGGATGTCTTTTAATAGTTGTACTTGAAAATTACCTTTTCCAGTTCCTTTGGAAAGAGCAGCAGTGGGATTTGTGATGCTGAATTTTGAATGTATAGAAATACATTTAATTGAAATTGTTTGATGTGTAATTTGCCACATTTTTATGCTCAGAGAAAAATTAACTTTGAACTAAAAAATCCCCAACTTTACAGATTAATTTTCTCTTTCTAGGACTCCCAGTTTTTACAGTGGTACTTGAAATTGTAAATACCCTGTTTTATTATGGAAGTAAATATTTTGGCTAATGACAATGGAATTTGTGAGTACTGTACACAGTATTATTCAAAATAAGTTGTTGTGCTTGCATAGAATAAATACTGCCAAAAAAGCCCAACCAGAATGAAGGTGTAATTACACACTCCAATGATGTAAACTGAAATGGTAGTTTGTTCAATGGCGAAATGTTAATGGTTTTTAACTGAAAAGCTTATTTTTCCATTTCCAGGTATTGCTTTGTTTTTGCTTTGGGATACCTCACTGTGTGCCAAATTACTAGAGTCTATATCTTTGATTACGGACAGTACTCCGCTGATTTTTCTGGGTAAGGACAAAAATAATCTTTCCACCTTGTCCTCCTGATTGCTGCTGTACCTGGTTTTTTTCCAAGTTAAGTGTGTCAACCTTTTAACCGTTGTGAGAAAGCTGGGTGTGTGCTTATGTCTTTGTACACATAAAAATATATAAGTAGCTATGCTTTAATCATGCAAATTGAGACTTTGGGGAGCAGTTGTGTCTTGTCAGAACCAGTGGTGCCTTGTCTGTTGCCTCCTGTTCCTGTCTGAAGGCCGTAAAGGATTTGGTGCATGATTTTTTTGCTTTTACTTTTTTCTCCTAAAACTCTGTTACCACCTGTGACAACATGATGAATCTTGAATTGTATCTGATGTACTCGTGTGCCTGGCACAGTCTGATACCACTTTGTGAGGAAAATTGGAATGTTTTATTGAATTTAGCTGTTTAGCTTCTTTCTTTTTTGGTTTTGTTACATGTTCCAGAAGGGGAAAGCTAAGGAAAGAGGCACCTGTGTGGTGGAACAGTCACACAGCCCTTGGAAACAGAAAGCTTTGTCGATATGTGCTCTGATTTTATATCATGAGCTTAAACCTGTATTTGACTTGAGCAGTAATTAGGAGGAAAACAGAATTAAGTAGGGAAAGTAAAACAACACAACTAGTGATTCTTTCTTACTTCAGTCACAAGGAACCGAAGCACAACATTTCCTATAAATGTTTGCCACTGTGATTGTGCTTTTGGTGATTTAAAGGAGAGAATGGATTTTTGGGGGAGAGTGTTTGGTAGTCTGCTTAAAACAGTGCAGTAAATACTGTCAGGAATACTGTGAATGTCAGTGGTCTTTGTAGTTTAGTATTACCTGTATTGTGTAGTGGAGCTGTGCTTGGTAGCCTTGGTAGCCTTGTTGCTTTTCAGCCTTCATTGATAACAAGTATGTAGTCCAGAAACTTAATTTGTAGGCTGAATCCAAAAGCTTTATGGTTAAGTTTGTCTTTTCTGTCATGTTTAGCTGGACCCTTCCTTCTGAAACATCTTTCTATGTTTACTCCTACATCCAAGTGTCTACCTTCAAGCCACATATCCAAGTTCCAGTTGTAGTCACTGGACATCTGACTGATGTAGACAGTAGAGCCTGAAGGGCATTTCAGCTGCCCTACCACTAAGTTCAACCTTAGTGTGAACTGGCTCACTTGCCAAATGCCTCTGACTATTGCTACATCTCCACTGTCTATAATGAGAGTTTGCAGCATGGACATATGCATAAAAGCACTTTAAAGTTAGGTTCACTGATTAGGGTTATATTAAACCTTCACCATTACAAATGAAACTGTAAGCCAAATGCTGCCCCTTCCAGTTCACTATAGGGCCAAAATGTGTAACCTTGGCAGTGATCAAAGCTCTGAGCTGACTCCAGAAACAGTATAATTGCACTTGTTTGTTGCTGCTCCCAAAACTATCAGTAGAGCTTGAGCACATCATTGCTCAAATGTGACTCTTGGTTTGGTGTTGGCTCAGATTTCTACTAGGTCTGAACACATTCAAAGATTTAAGAGATCTGTGCTCTGGATAGAACTGTTCTGAAGCCTAGATCCATCTCTCTGTATGTTTGAGCTGCCTAATTTAAACCATCTTTTCATGCACTAGTTTGGGACCTTGATGTATGCATCTGTCATATACTGAACTGCTCCCTTGAGGCCTGAGACAGAGATTACTTCCAAAACAGGGGGAGAGAGAAGATGAACTGAAAGGGCTATTTTCTGCCAGTTTTCTCTAGTTCTAGGGGAAGAGAAATTAGCTCAAGTAAATTATAAAAGTTGCCTAACCAGTGGCTGAACCCCAGCACCAGCAAGTTCTTACAAAGATGTTGGCATGGATTTGTCTAGTAGTTGGTCCCAGAAGAGCTTTGAATGTCTGTTTATGTAGATATTTCTCCTAGCATGCCATACCCACCTGAGGTGTCCCAGAGAATCTGCAAAATGTTTAAAGGAAGGTATCAGTGCACTGACAGTGAAAACAGTGGAGAAGACCTCGCGCTGGAGGTGCAATTGCTTGTGCAGGGTTGAGTGGTCCTGGCTGCAGTACTAACAGATCCCAGCTGCCAGTGAGCCTTCCACTGCCTTCTTGCCTTTCTGCCAGCACCTAAAATGGATCATTAAAATTCTGGTTCCCAGCCTTCCTGTTCCCAGAAGGACTCTTCCTCTTTTAGTGTCTAGATTGTTGCTCCTCGGCCAAATCCTTGATGATACTGGAATAGCCACTTGAGAAGCGAAAGAACACTGGGGTCTGCTATGATAACAATGACAGATGCATCAGTGCAGCTAGAATTAATACGAGGTCTGACAGAACTCCTCCTGGGCTCCATCCTTCCACCAGGCAGGATCCATGCTGTCACATGTCCACTTACAGAAGGACCACCCATTATGTTCAGAATCAGTTGATGATTTCTGCCAGCACCAGGCAAGTCTGCAGCTTAAATGGTAGAAAGAGATATGAGGGATTTCCTGACTGTCTGGTTTTGTTTAGTGTTTCTTTCGTTGCTGACCCTTGCCTGTCATTGTAGTCTTAGTGTCAGGATTTTGGGGCACTGATAATACAGTAGGGAAAACCCTTTTTCCTTGGTTGCATTTGGAGGACTGAAAGTATTGTGTGTTTTGAAATAGCCATAACATTAAAAAAACTGAATTTGTCAGACTGAGCCATCTGGCAAAACACTGGCATTTCCCTGTCAGTGAAGGAGAACTTGATGGCTGTTGGATTTGTTTTTCTGTGCCAACTTTAATATGTTCTAAAAAAGGCCAGCTGCAGTCAAAAGACTTGAACAAAACTATATGCCTATCCTACAGTATCATTGTTTTGTTTGGTCTCCAGTTCAGAAGCTATGAGGTAAATACAGAGTCCCTGATGCATTTTTGAGATCTGATTCCAAAGTTAAATTTTTAAATTCTAATAATTTACTTCATGCTCTCCCCCATCCTCTCCTTGCCCCCAGTTAAGGGGTTCTCAGTGCTGGGATTTGCATCAGTCAAGAGCTCTTAAGTACTGTGAAGATTGTATAATTTCTCAATATAAAGCTGACTTGTTTAGGTAGAGAAGAATGTATCTTGGACAGTTTAAGATCTGCTCAAGTGTACCAAACTCAGAACAAACTGAACTCTTTTATGTGGGCTCCAACATAAATTGTACTGGGGTTTTGTTTTGCCAGATGTGTTTACTTGAAGCAAATAATAATTCTAGATGGGAAAATTAAGCATAGGACTGAGTGTTAGTAGAAACAGTGGAAGTGGTCTGAATATCTAAATAATGTATAATATTTTTCAACATTGGTATATTTTTATTGTCCTTTCCTTAGTGCTGCAGTAATTTACAATGTACTTAATTGCTCTGATTGCCCTTTTTTCTTTACTCTTCCCACTGTAAAAAAAATAAACTGTTAGTGGAAAATAGATCTGAAACACTGACTATGTTTGTGGAACCTAACACTGCGATAAAAGGCAGAGGTTATCAAATACTGCATCTAAGGATTAAATTATTTTCATTGCATTGAAAAATCAGAGACTAATCACTTTATCCTTGCGTTGAAAATCTTCCAGTTGAGAGTAACTAACCTGGACTATTAACATACGCTTTCCCTGATGTTTGCCTGTGAAAGAAAAGCTGAACTTTTTTTCTAATTTATTCTTTCTTTTCTTAAAACAGTCCAATGATGATAATTACACAGAAGATCACTAGTTTGGCATTTGAGATTCATGATGGTAAGATTTCTTTGAACTGTGTTTAATTATCCATAGCAAATACATTTTAGGAAAGTTAGTCATGAGTCAGTGAGTTACTTTAGTCCAGTGTGTGTGTTAGGACAAAATATGTTTTTGTGTCTCAGTTGACTCTTTAGATGCTTGCTAATGAAGTGCCAGGAAATGTTGCACAGATGCTGCAAAAGCTCTGAAAATGCTTACATTGTGCAGAAGATACTATTTATCAGAAGACAAATGGCACTTCTGGGACCAGTGACGGAAGACCACTGACATTATTTTGGGCTGGCATATTGATCCTGAGAATCGGCTGAATAAATTTGGAGATCGTTGTTGCTGACAGGTTGCTAGGAAAAGTACGTGTCACTTCAGTCATTGAGCACCTCTTAGAAGTCTAATATGTGCCATGTATGCTGATTTTCATCATGTGCTTCATTTTGTTTATTATCATAATTACACTTGCTACTAACTTGTCAGTGTGAACAGGGAGATTATCTAACTATGTTTCTGTCTTTTCTCCCTTTGGATTTATACATCAGATAAGTGGGCTCTAGTTATGTCAAAAATGAATCCTACTGTGGGTTTTCCTGGGTAGGGTATCTAATTGTTTAGTTACCTTTAAATTCAAAGGGGTAATTTTCATTTTAATGTTTGATAATACCATCTAATAAATCTTGCTAATTAGCTTGAATCACTTGGAGCTCCAGCTGCTGGTTGAAGATTTGGGAGTGTAGCCCCAGCCACCTGGATCAAGCCACCTGTTCTTCTGAAATGTCTTTAGTAACATTATGTGTGGAGTTTAATATGTTTTTGTCTCGTATACATCCTAGCTTTAGTGCTGTTGGTGTTCCATTTTGTTTCCATTCTTGTCAACACTGTCTAGAGAAGCCTGTAGGAAACAGCACAGATGAATATGAAAAGTGGGGAAAACTACTTGTGAGAATTCTTGTAGGAATCAAAATAAATAATGCTGGTTGATGTTTAATATCTAGTTGATGTTTAACTTCCAGAGAAAATTATTCAGAAGTATTTGTCTTGCAAACTATAATCAAATAGACTACAGAGTACACAAGCTAGATGGAACAGCTTATTATGAGGAAGTAATAATTCTAGTATCAAAGATAAATGCTTTCTCTTAGTATTATTTTGCTTGGGGAAAGAGCTGTTCTCAGTTTGCTGACATCATACACAGATAGTGGAGTTGTGGTATGGGAAAAGCATGTGAGTGTTCCTGGTAATCATGAAACAAATTTTTCATTTAATTAGGTATATTCTTAACTTCCTACACAAACCAGTCTATTTTTTTGTTCCCTACTTATATTAACTCAGACAATTTCTGTTTTCCTCATAAGCCCAATTTACTTTCTGTCTAAAGTTCTTGTAGATGTAATTGAATTCTGAGCATAAACCTTGGAATTCTGTTCCTTGCTGACCTCGTATCAGATATCCTTTTGAGTCTTTGTCAGCCCGTGGGGTGTAGCTGATACTGTATTGGAAAACTGGTCTCTGGTTGCAGTTGTCCTTGAGTTGGATGATGGCCATTGCTGGGAGCACAGTGTGAACGTGACTTTCAAAAGTTGATGTGACCAATGTGAATTCAGGAGCAACTCCTGGTTTGGTGTCAGGAGATGCAAAGAAAAGATGTAAAGGGGAAATGGAGATTATACTGAAGCAATGATTTTTAACCATAGACAACTTAAAAGGGGTCCATCATGAGAAATCATTGAAAACAAGCCTGCTGTCAGTGGGGTTTTGTTCACTGTATGAAGGTCCATGCTTGCCCTGGAAAATACTTTGACATATACTGATGGGCGAGGAGAAAATGTTGAATATCAGTAAAAGTGATTAATGGTACTCTGAGCCTGTAGTCATATAAACTTGGCTATATTAATTACAAATTACTTTATTTTCTGCTCGCCTTGTTTTTTATGCATGTCCAAGGAGAGGTAATGAAAGTAAAGAGCTGAAAGGAAGGTGTTTGTGATCTTGGAAGATCTTGGTAGGCTTCAAAACTCTGGTTGTAGTTAGGTTGGCTTTGTGGTAAAGAGACATCTGAACTCGATCTTTTCCTAGCAGCCTGTTTGTTGTGTTCAGCTGGTTTTAGTGTTAGATTTGAAAGTCCTGAAGAGAACTGGATGTAATGATGAAGACTGCTCACTCATGCTGCATAGTAAAGAGTCTGTCTAGCTAATTCCAAGTTGAACACCAGTATGGAATCCCATAAATAAATAACAACTATCGCTATAACTGTTACATCCCTGTGCACTTAGTGTAGGCAGGGGAGTTTAAGCAGGAAAATTCTATGCAAGTTGCATAGATCATTTTAAGCTTGCTGTGTAATGCTGACTTCAGAAGGTTGCATGGATCACAGGTTTACATGAGTAAGTTTGGAGTACGTCTTTGGTGTACTCTGACATTTGGGACTGAAGCCCTTGATCATTCTTGCCTTCTTAGAGTTTCTTGTTACTTTAATGAATGCTGCCAAAAATGAGCAGTCGATATATTAAAATTTGCCTTGTATTTCTTGTTGGTTATCTTCAGCATTACACGTGTATATATTCAAAAGGCAGAAAGGTTTTTGCATTATTTGGAGACTGCTTGTGGCAGTACTCATACTTTATGTCAATACATAGATTTATTTATGCAACACTTTCGGCTAATGGCAGAATTAAGGGAGAAGAACTTTTTTTTGCTTCAGATCCTATATTCTGAATTGCCATAAAATTTAAGACTAGCATATTTTGGAAAAACAAAGTTGTGTTGCAGTTACTCTAGAAGTAAGGGCCTTGTCTACAGGTGCAGGTTAGAAGGGCTATAAATTGGAGGGTTATACTTGCACAAGAAATTTCTAGCTAGGAGGTGGTGGCAAGTAGAGAAGCTTTTGCTGTTTTAACGTACTAGCAGTTAAGCAGGGGAGAAGAGAGATACTGCCACTCTGCATCTTGCAATGAGTTCATATAGCATTTTCTCTTTTTGCTTACAACCTACTCATCCTCACAGAGCCTCACTCATTTTACTGCAATTCTGCACGAGATGATGGATCTTTACAGGAAAAGGCCCATATCCAAATCTAACCTCACCAATCTCTATGCGCTTTGGCAGCTTGTTTTTAATTCTAGTACTTAATGAATCTTAAAGAGTCTCTTCAGATGTTTATATTCATAACCCATTGAAGTTCTGAAGTTTGCAATGTATTTATTTTTGAATCTCCAAGCAATTCAGCCCGCATGACTAGGGAATGTTGGACTTGATATTTGATATTTAAAAGGGAGAAAAATCTTCTCACAGCTTTCTCCAAACTTTTTCTTATTTATTTAATTAAACTCAATAATACATAAAACTTTGAAGGCAAGTTCAGTACTGCTCTACAAAACATGAAATTTAATTATTCAAAAGCTTTTTTTCATTGCATTTTTCCATAAACATGTGTGGCTAGATACAGGTAAGAAACCAGGACGATAACACCCTTCTGTTCTGTCAGCTGCTTCTTCGTTCCCAGGGGCTGCTCATATGCTTTCCAACCGCAAAAAGAAATAAACTCTTTGTTCCTGTGTCTCCTTCTCCCCTCCCCTGCGCCCCGGCGTTTCAGCTCTGTAGTTGCTAATTTTTAAAATGTGTTTTTCCTGGAGTACTGCTTGCTGTTTTTTTTCCCTCCTAATTATTATTTCCTCCTATGTATCTGGTGCTCTCCATTTTTATAAGCATCAGAATAGATACTGATTTAGTAAGGCACTGCATTTACTGTGAGAACTGAAAGGAGAGAAAGTACAGGGAATATGCAACTCAAATGACTTTTTTTACCTCTGCAGTTTAGTTTGAATGATAATTGGTGAAATGTGGTTAAAGGCAAGTCTTTCACCAGTATTTTAGGTCTCATTTACTTTGTTCCAACATCAAGCTATTAGGCCAATGTCTGGATTATTTTATGCTGGTTTTCCTCATATTGCTATTCTACTATTACAAAGCTGTAAGATTTCCAAATAGGCTATTAGGGCCTATTTCTCCCTGCAAAATAATGAAAGCATAGCCTCTGTCTAGTATGGCCCCTGAAAGGAGAGAGATTTGAATGGACAGATAAAATAAATGGAAAATGGGAAGGAGAAGAGGAAAAAGAAAGAAAGGTGATGTTAGAAGAACTCATGTGCAAGCACTGTATTAGTTGGGATGCTACACCATGCACCTGGGAGGTTTTTCAGATCTTTTTTATTATTATGTAAATTAGAAAACAAATTTCTTGCTGGTTTGTGGCTAATGAGCAGTCCCAACCAATGTGCAGTACCTGCTATAACATTAATGGTAGTTTTATTGTTAGCTGTTCCTGAGCAATGTAATAGTGTCGGAAGTACTGAAGAATGTTTCTTGATTGAGTTGATATAAGTGTTTCTCCTTTATTTTCAGTTAACTCAATTATTTCATTTTTATCAGAGGCAAATAGTTCCCTTATTCAGCAGAAAGACACTGCATCGCTCTAAAGGCTTTGCAGACAACTTTAGTATTGGTCTGCTCTGGCTCAAAGGCTGGAAATGTGGATGTACTGAAGCACTGATCAGCTTATGTATTTTGGTACATGAGATGTGATATTCCAAATTTATTTTAAATAAATACCTACGAAACCAAAACGGGATTACCAGGCTGAATTGCTGACTGTCACAACATGAGCCTGGGGTAAAAAGGAACATACCGTGTTTTGGTCAGCTTCTGTGATTAAGTGGGGATTCTTTGTTGTAGTGAGAGATGGTCAGTTAAGAATATTGTTATCTTTATGGAAATGTCTCATAAACTGTTAATGCACTTTTCTGATTTTGAATAGGGTTTATTATCATTGTTATTATTATTATATCTTTTAAAAAGTGTATTTGGGAAGGTATGAGCAAGAGAAAAACTGAACAACTCTTGAGACAGAGGTGGGCAATTATGTATGTAGGACTAGATACTCGTATGGATTTTTCATAGGTGGCCATGACCCATCTCCACTTTATAAATGCTGGTATTATAACAAGAAAGTTGCAGCTGTTTAACCAAGAATGTTTTTCTCTAATTTGTCTGTTAATTACGTCAGTGAAACTGCCATGATGTGTGGATCTGTATTTTTGGGAACTTGATTTCTTCTTATGTCTGGGAGTGCCTTCTAATGCTCTCTCCACTTGTCTCTTGATCTATTTTCTTTTTCTTAGGTGCTCCCTCTTGTGTTAGCGACAGCATTGTCATTCTTGTTTCAGTATCTGTTACCAAATAACTTTGATTGCAGTGCCATGTACATTAGTGTTTTAGAGAATTGTATTGTATTTCTCCCCTCCGAGCTCTTCAAGTGTTGTTCTGGACCGGTGTTTGCTTGCATGGCTCTCTGGATATCAAGACTTCTTATTTTTCATGCTTTTTGTAGTTGCTTTGCATTTTTACTCAACTGGCATCTTTATCTGTTTGCTTCTATTCCTGCTGATGTACTAGTAACAGTTAAAACTATTATTGTCTGCCTGTCTTCAGGTCTTAAACTATTTAATAATGGCATGCATTTGTGCTCAGCTGGTGATCCATTTCACAACCTCAAAATTGACTGCAATTACAAAAGAGCCTCTGATATGATCTCCATGTTTAAGATTATCATTGTAATGCAGGCTTATACCTAAACAATATTAATAACTGATTAGCCAGGTTGCATGCAAATACAAAGGTGGATATATTCAAGCAGATTTACAGCAAAGCTGGAGTGGTGCTATAATGCGATTGTAAACGTTGTATTATTGTAGTGAGAGCATGATAGTAGTCATAATATGCCTTAATAAAGTCTGCAAGGCAGGATATTGGTGTGTACCTTTGGGATACGATCTCTTGAGGAGGAATGAAATGATGCAACTTCTTCATGATCTAGACAGCTGGGGATAAATTTTGCTACCAATGATTTACAAAGTTCTTTTACCAAAGAAAGAGCATAGGAGTATCTCCTACTTTAAAGATGAGAAAACTGAGTTATGGTTCCTGAGTGACCAAATGACTTCACCTCTCTAACAGATGTTCGATAAAAGCCATTTTCTGTAATCCCCACTGTGAGCTGGTAGCAACTAAAAGCTGCAGTTATTGTAGTAGTCCTGTTTTAGGACAGGAGAAAACCATTGTCATAATCCCCAGAGAAAGGTTACAAAACTTCATGAGTTCCCTAGCAGTGGTGTACTGTTAAAGTGGGTTTTTTTCATCTCCAGTGTGAAGTAGGTAAGGAAGAGCTATGAGTAATGAGGCCTCTGTCCCCATGGGCAGATACACTGCCTGGGAAATATTGAATGGATATATATTAATTCATCTCTCATTAGATAAGCGTCTGTGTAGGAGCACCTTTTCCATATGTATTTCCTATGTGTTAAAAAATCTTAACAGTAGCTTCCTGAAAGCTTTTGAGGGTATGACAGAGGCAGAGATCAATCGTTTCCTTGTGCTTGCATGCTGCGCAGAGGTGATAAATGGGCCTTCAAGCCGCTGAGAAGACATTTAAATGAAGGAAGCCTGCAACAAACTAATTCAGGGAGTCACTGAAGTGACCTCAAAGAAATTGCTGGCTGGAGGGAGATCTTAGTGAGATAGCGAAATGAAAAATTCATGGAGGCTTACTTGTTTGTGGTATGTTTGAGACAATAATTGTATTGCTCACCAGGTTATTTAGGCCTTAGTGACTTATTACATATGTATATAACTGGAACCCAGTTCAAATATGCCACTTCTTTCTTCCTCACCTCTCTTTTATTTGTCTAATTACCTTTATACAGTGGTTAGTCTGGCTTTGTGCAAGTTCACTTGAGCACACTTAGTGACTGCATCCACTTTCTGACTAAAGGGTGTGAATACTCATGTGGAGTATAACCGTGAAAGATGCTCCTGCTCGGGTCAGTTTACATTGTGTATGCTGTGAGACTGGAGGCTGAGTACAGGCTACTTCCCTAGAGGAGTCATGTCATGTGATCTGCATTAATCTATAGGAGGTTTTGTGTCTTTTTGTCAAAGATTTGCTGCTGAGAACTGTAATCTTACAGCCTTGAAGGTGAAAGGGCCTTTCAGAATGCTCCTATAAGGAGATGATGTGAAATGTAATGATGAGGAAGAGAAGCTGCCTGCATGAAGTTTGCGGTGATGCTTTGCCCTTTAATTTCTTGCCTTGAATGCAGGTGAATAGGGGTCACTTTGCACTCTGAAGGATCAGGACTGAGGAAGGTATTTTTCCAGGTCATATTACAGGAGAGGAGATGGCAAGTTGCTAACCTGTCCATATTCTCAGCTACTTTTAAGATTAGAAGTGCAGTTTTAAAGCTGTAAGTGTGTATAAGTCACTGTTCATGGAGTCATATGAAGACAACAGTGTTATCTTTTTTTAGTTAACAAGTATTTCCATGAGTCATAGAAATAAATGAGATTTGGCTTCCCCTCTACCCCCCCCCCCCCGTCTGTTTTTATCTTAAGCTTGACTGATTTTGATACCTAAAAAATAATTAAAAAAAATAATTAACTCCAGTTAATATTCTCCTAATGTCCTAAAATTGTCCTTTTCTCTCAAATATAAGGGTTCCCCTCTGGATTTACTCGCATCAAGGGGTGGGGCTGAAGGCAAGTTTTCTGTGACTAGAGAAGGATCTTCTGTCAAATCACCTATTTTCATAAAACACATTGAGATTTTGTATCTGTATTACCTCTGCTCTTTCATCAAACTTGGTTAGAAATTGTTTGTTGAGTTTAGGCAGTGCTAGGGAGGAAGATAATTCACATGGGATTCCATAACTTTCCTTTGGGAAAACTGTGCTCATAAAAATAAATTTCTTATTGCTTGTGATGGCAAAGGAAACTTGCAAATGTGAATGGCAGGGAATGGACGTGTGTGCTCATGTCTGAACCAGTGGAGGGGCTGCAGAAGGAGCTGAAGCAGTCAGTCATTTTGGCAAGCAGTGCTGGCAGCATAAACCAGGACTTGTTTGAAGGCAAGAGATCTGCTTCGTCTCTCCCCCTGAGTTAGTGGTTAATACTAATTTTAAGTGCTGAAGGTCATATTTTTTCACTTTTTTTATGGGAGTGCAGATTTTGAAGCCCATCTTTCAGGGGTAACCACCAGCATTTCAGAAAGTGGTCCCTATGGCAAGAAGGTAAATTCAGTCTTGCTGCTGAATTTAGACTTGGCCTGCCTGTTTCTGCTAGCAGGGGTGAGGGCTTCTCCTTGATGCTGGTGAAAGACTTGAGAATGTTTTAATGTTCTCACTGGTCCTTCTTTGCAATCTTTAGCTGCAGCATGAAGGTGCTCTTGAGGTCTGCCTTAACTTTTGAATTGTTTAAATCTATCTTGGACTGTGTTCATACTGTGCATCGAGTCAGTCATCAGTGAGATGTCCCTGGATTACTGCAGTGTTGAAAGAGGCTTGGGGCTTGTCAAGTTTCCATGACTGGGAATGAGGGGGGTTAAAATTTGCAGGCTTTGAAATCTTAACCAATGTAGAGGAATTATTTGTCAGCACCTACTACAAGCCATCTTAATGCTTTCCTGAAATCCATGTGATTTCCGGTGTAGGTGCTGTTGGGTATAACTGAGGATACGAGAGTTTATAATTTTGTTAACAGTAAGAATTGTTTGCTCCAATTCCAGCAAAAAATTTTACATGATGTAGTACCACTGAAATTGCTTGAGGACTTAAGAAATTACATTGCGGCATGCGGCTTGCTCTAGTGAGTAAAGAAACTGTTAATTCATGTGTGGGGTTTAGCTTTTCTTTATTTTTCCTTTTCCCTGTCCTTTTCCCTAGGAATGTTTCGAAAAAATGAAGATTTGACTCCATCTCAGAGGTGCTTGGCTGTAAGGTAGGCTTTCAGGCATCTCTGTGATTCTAGTTTTGGGGTGGAAAGAAGCTGGTGTTTTGTGTGCTGCCTTAATGCTCTGTGGAATTGCTAGTTTACATTCAAGATAGAGAGTTTACCCATGTAAAATGGATCCATGCTTTTTACGTTTGTAGCTTAATTCATACATCTATTCTGGAAAATATCGCTAGAAGTTTTTATTCTTAGTAAAGAAAAACATACTAAGTTCTATGCAGTATATGCAAGTTAATGCCGTATCAGGCAGGAGAGTAGTTAACATTCAGTACACATTTAAAGTAGTTGGTGAAGGAACATGCTTGTTTAATTCTGGTATTTAGTATTTAACTTACATTTTCCCCTTTCTTTATTCAGGAGACTTGAGAGTAGCATATTGTCCTGGGCAAAACAGGCTTGACTTGAGGCATTTTCCTTAATTGAAATTATTGCCAGTTAACGCAAACCTTTGTTTACCAATTCAGTTACTGAAGGGAAAACAAGGAAGCCTAGAGTTGAACAAACACGCAGGGAAACACCCTTCCTACTCCTTCCCCAGGCTCAGCTTCAGACATCTCTGCTGTGTGAGGAGAGTCACCAGCGTTCAGGAGATCTATCTGAAAATGCTCAGTACAGTTTGGAAAGAAATAGTATGTGTAGAATGTTTTAAGCTGTGATTACCAGAGACACACAAACTGCTTTTCTACATGTGGGTTTTACTGCAGTCAGAGTAAGCAATAACATGGAGTATGACTTTTCCTGCTGTGGAAATTCTGTAGAACTACACATTCCATCTCACGAGTTGCTTGTCTTTGAATTACAGACGCATGCCAAGTCTACTGGAGTATTTAAGTTACAACTGTAATTTCATGGGTATCCTGGCAGGCCCGTTATGCTCTTACAAAGACTATATTACTTTCATTGAAGGCAGATCATACCAACTGCAACAGTCTGAAGCAAATGGGAAGGAAGATACCAAATATGAACAAACGGATCCTTCCCCAAATGTAAGATGTATGACTCTTGCAGTGCTGATGCTTACGTAATCATTGCATGGGAAGCTTGGTTTGCATTGTTTGTTTACAGGCATAACTTCTGAGCTGTATCTGGAGTTCATTTATCAACAGTATAGCTCCCTGCTCATAAATACTTACTCTTTTCTAAGGCAGGTTTTCTCCATGGTTTCCAGTCTGGATCTTGTGGATGAAAGCAGATTAAACTGAAGCTTCCTAACAAGCTTATATGGTAAAAAGCTGTCTTTAAATTAAAACAGTTCATGCATGTTTCTTCCAAAGCATATACTGTCCGTAACAACAGTACAGACAGTACCGTTACAGTCCTGGTAAGGATGAAATGCACATTTTGTCATTTGAAAGCTGAGCCTTAAAAGTTCCAGTAAATTTCCATGAGCATTCATAAATTCTTTTTAATATCTTCTTGCAGCAAATAGAAAACACTCTATGTAACAAAGTGAAAAACAGTCATAGAAGAGTTTCATTTTTCTTGCTTTCATTTATGTAGAGAGAAGTGTTAAAGATGGATTTTGATCTGAAGGTGTAGTGAAAGATGGAATATCCAGAACACTGTGGCTAGTAATCCGTACATGTCTTTTTTCTCTTTGTTCTGTTGTTGGAAAAGAGGCCAAATACATACAAAAGTCCAGTTGATCATACCTTACAGGAGAGGTTGTATGGCCTTATTACCTCTTAAATTTTAGGGTACCAAATACTACCTTTTCATTCTTTTCCTGTTCTCTTAAATAGGAGTATATCAGACTTTTAAATTTGTGTCTGCCTAAGATAATCATTACCTCACTTAAAAAGCAGAATTATCATGGAAATCTTCAGATAGATGAATGGCTTTCATTATTCCAGCACCAGTTTCCTGCTCTCTGCTTAACTTACGGATGACCAACTAGCATTCTGACCATCTAGAGGTTACCATCCTCACAGCTGGACTAACACTGAGCGCCTTCCAATCAATTGTGTCATCTGCTTTGAATGTAGATGAGGACTCTTTGCACATTCCATTCTCACTGTCTTTTGTAGTTGTAGTAACTTGGACCAAATGGATCTAAACTGGTGGCTAGAGGATGATAACCCTTTAAACTGCTCCATATGGTGACAGAGCACCTAAACTCATAGAAATGCTGTGGAGCAAGTAGGTGGGAAGCGCAAAAGACACAGGAGAATACCCTGTATAAGTTGGCACCTCATAGTCTACAGTCTGCCTTGACGTGTTGTCTTGGCAAAGTTGCAGACACATCTTTTTGTTTTTAACCATTGCTTGGCTCAGTTGAGGCATCACGTCTTATGTACATAAAATGCTGTTTCTGCAGAAAAATATGTAGCACAATTACTGCAAATAAATGGAACTAATTTGGCAGTATCAGTACTTCTGGACATGCATCTACTGGTTGCCTGATAGGACAACTTAGCTTTTTACCACATGATCTTGCTAGTAGTCTGAACAAAGTCAATAGAAGTTAATGTAAACCTATGATGGATTCCTCTTTCAGGTAAGTGGTTTTCCTTAAAATAAATTGCCCTTGAGATGCTTGAAACTTTTTGCAATTTATGCTGCATTAGCTTTGACGTAAAGAGAAGCCGTCTGTGCTGTTATTTCATCTCCCCACTGGTGTTAGAGAAATCTGTCTGTGTTTTATAACACCAGTGAGTATTGTGTGCTTTTGGAGAAATATGGGTAATATTATTTTACTGCATTTGCTGCATCAATTAAAATATTAATTGTCTTGTTATAGAAGGATATTTAAATACCATTAACTTCATATTAATACTTTAAATTTGTTCCTTGATTCTCATGTTATTTTAAGAAGAATAAATTGTTAGGAACTCAAAAAAAAAAACAAAACAACCGGAATGTAATGGGGATCAGCAAATGTTAAAGTAGTAAATGGAAAAAAATTAGCCCTTCAGCTGACTTACAGTAAGTTTCATTTCTTGTTAAATACAATTACATAACCAAAGTAGTTCATGGCAGCCTCCTCCTCTATACTGTGTGTTGACTGCATGATGTTAACTTGGTTTAGTATTATTGCTGTGTTCATTGCATGTTAAATGAATCAAGTCAGCGTATTAAAACTTATTTCTCATATCCCTCCTATTGTGCCTTTTTGCAAGCTATCAATTGTTGGTGCTCAAAGTGGTGTCAACTCTCAGAAATTAATATCTGTCTTTGTAAGTTTCTTTTTATTATGGCTACCCTTAAAATACAAGATTCCTGTCAGCAGATATCTGCTTTCTTGCTTATTATGCAGGTTCTTCCTACAGGTTATAAAGCTCTTCCTTGGTTACCTATAATTTTTACCTGAGGTGCTAACCTCCCCAGAATAATATGCTTTAATATAGTTCAATATTATATTGAGCTCCTTATTGATTCTTTATCAATCAAGAACTAGTTCATTCAAATAAAATCTTTTAAGATCCTTTTCTACTTTTTTGTATAATTTAAATCAATTATAGATGTTTATACAGTAATATATTTACAAAATCCCTGAGCTCAATGACTCCCACATTTATTGCTTCAATTAGAAAGCTGTTCCTGAGCTCCTTTCTCTGACTAGATATCTAGCCTTCAACCTAATTATATTCCTGTCTAATTTGGTTTTGTCGTGGCACTGTCTTGTAGCTTAAGTACCAATTTTCTTTCCCAGCCTTGATCATAAGTTGGTATTTTTAATATAGATTATGCCCAGTTTTTGTTCATCAAAACCAAACAAGCCAGGCCTTTCTGCTTTTCTTGTTGTAAAATAAGGTGTATGTACTACTTCATTTGAGGTCAAAGTTATCCTACAGCTGATAGTCTTTTAATGCCTTAATGGAGCAGTTATTTTTATACTTGAAAATTTGAAAGAAATTTAAAGTTTAAACTCTTAAAGTAGTTATTTCATCCTTGTAAAAACTGACCAACCCTCTTGTGTGATCCGGTGATTACCCATTTACAGCAGAGGAGTTTAGATCACTTCCCTAGTTAATTAAGTGAATTAACATTTTACCTAATGCATTTATATTGGTGATTGAACTATAGATTATTTTGTCAGGTGGGAGCTTTTATTTGTATGTAAATGTGTTAAAAACTTGAGTGCTACAAACAAGCCTAAGGCTACAGTTTAATGAACTATTTAGGACAACCAAAGTGTAAACTCTTGCTGAATATGCTATGTCCTTGAAGTAGGGTCCATGCAAGGTAAGGACCTTTGCTTATCCTAGCAGTGCTAACATGCTTTGCACTGTGGTCTGATTCAGATAGTTTGATCCAGCCTTAAACAAAGTTGTCATTTAAAAAAAACAACAAAAGAAAACAAAAAGCAAAACCCCCACAACAACAAAACCAGACAGCAAAACACCTGCCACCAAAAAAACCCCAACAACCACGAAATGAAACAGAAACTAAAACCCAAGCTCAAACTCTGGTTTTCCACCTGACTTGTTTCTCTAATCTGACTCACTAGAAGGAAAAGGCAAAAAATCTTGTACTGAAGGTGAGAGACAGGGACTGCATCTCACAGTCTTTGTAGAGGCCGATCTCCATCACTGTTTACTAAGGACGCTGATATACCTGATACTGATCACTGTAAGTGGTATCAGCTTGACTGAGGGGCTGAAATTTATAATTATGATTAAAGTAGTGCTTGTCCCTGCACTGAAATGTTGGTGCTAAGTTGCAGAAATATAACATTTAAATACTAAACAAATGAAATAAAAAAAACTCGTTTCTCAGTATTTTTTCTTGTAAGTACAAACTAAAAACTGCTAAGATAATTTTGTTAAACGTACAGTTTATGGCAGAACCCTGCATCAGTTTATTTTTTATGAATATGAGTTTTGTTGGAACTGATGCTTCCCTGTAAAAGAAGGGCTTTCACCTCCACAGTTTTACTAAAAATCTTCTAACAGCTACTAAGCATATTTTGGGTTGAATATGCAGATCAGTGATTTCTGTTTACCAGCAGAAAAACTGATAAATAGTGGCAGTGGCAAAAGCAGGCCTTTAAACAGAGAAAACTTTACTTATAATTTGACAAAACTTATTCTGAGACTTTGTAGAGATCTTCAGATAGAAAACATCTATTTTCTATGGTTATGTTTTAAGTTATGTATTAATGTTAGCAGCCTATAAATACTGTTTCTCATGCTAAATTAAACATGACTTTTAATTATGGCTTAGACTTTGAAGTTAAATTCTTACAACTGTCTACATAGCTTTGGGGAGATGCCTTGCAGTATTTATAAATATCTAACTTTTGTATGTATCAGATACTGCATACCAAAGTTAAAGATTCACAGCAACTAAAACATCACTGTGTTATCGGCATTATTCTCAGACTAAATCCAAAACACAGGCCTGTACCAGCTACTAAGAAGAAAATTAACTCTATCCCAGCCAAAACCAGGGCAGAAAGTCAATGCCCTTAACTTTGAGGTCTTGTAACAGAGTAAAATAGTGAAATCAAGTTTATTAGAAAGCAAGTAGGAAAAAAATAATCAAACACCAGTTTTAGCTCTCAATAGGCACTTACCCCTTGAATTAACCAGCTGGTTTGTTTAATTAGCTGGGTTTTCTGATCCTCTCTGAAATACCATCTGAGAATGAGGCACGTGAGATCTATGCAATATCCACAGTTGCATCCCTCACTGTTTTACAGCTTTTCCAAGTCTGATTTTTTACCAGGTTGCATCACTGCTTACATCTCATGACTAGGTCTTGCAGAAACCTGTGTTTTCAGTTGGGCACTTAATGCTCCATTCTGTATCACGGAATCGTGAAATCACGTTATTGTGAAATTAAACATGTGAAGCTGAACTCTAATTGAAGCAGGATGTTACCTTTTAAAGTTTGGGCAAGTATACTGGAAGCAGGAGGGACAGAAAAAGGATTCTTATCTTTTTGTTCTGATGCTTCAAAGACAAATAGATTGTTTTCTTGACAAGTTCAGTGTGTGTAAAATTGAAATGTAAATGAAAACTGTAATGTTTAAATATTGATACCACTTACAGTCAAAACTTGAAAATGACATTTAAATGAACTAGCTCTCAAGCTGCTCTTTTCTAGCTGCTCGGTTAGTGTGCTACTTTAGGGGCTTGCACGGAACATGGTATCTGCCCTTGGGATGTTGATCAGACTAGTGATCAAAAGCAGTCAATGCTGTGCATTATTGCTCTCAGTGTTATTATAATAGAACCTTACAAATGTTTTCCTAAAGACTATATTCTTTAGTGTGGTGGTTATAGTAAAATGGTATTTTGAGAAAATCTGAGTCTGGGTCCTGCCTAAACAATGTATTTTTTACATGTCTGCAAGCATATTATTTGACTCCTTATAGCTTAAACACTCTAGTTGGGAAAACAGGTCTGTATAGAACTGAGGTGTTCTGGCTGAAAAGTCATAAACTCTTTCAGTGTTTTAGTTGGTTTAGAATTCATATATTATAATAATCTAATAGAGATGATTGATACATTGGGTTTGGCAGGAACTGAACACTGCATTATGCCAAAGACTACCAAAAATGAACTGAAGCTTTGCCATTGTTTTGGGAGTCTCTGCAATAATTGTACTCCTCTTGTCCTAGATTATATAGTTTGTGTTGTGATGTCTTAAAAACTTACTTGCTTTAGCAATTTGGCAATGAAAAAAAAAAACCAAAAACTGGAGTTGCAAAGAGTGTTCCTAGTATTGACAGGGTTTATAGAGGCTCACTGCAGTGAGGTTGGATTTGCTGTGTTGTTTACCAGAAGTAGCGCTCCTGACTCCAGATAACTACTCCTTGAGCCTCTATAAAATATTATCAACTTTTAAAGTTGGTAGTGTACATTGCTGAAAAACTAACATGTATATACATCTGTTTAGGGAAGGAGGATTATAATCTGCCTTTGTTTCCGAAAGATTAACAAAAAGGAAGCTTACAGACTCTCACATCTTAAACTTTTCAGATAGCTGTGGCACAGAAGCTCTTAATCTGTGGACTGTCCTTACTCTTCCACATGACAATTACAGAAACTTTGCCTGTGGAATACAACATTGATGACAACTTCAGAGCTACAGCTTCATGGCCTGTAAGGTTTTTCTACCTGTACGTGTCTCTTATGGCTGCCAGACCCAAGTATTATTTTGCATGGACTTTAGGTAAGTGTGTATATATTAAAAAAATAAAGCGTATGTATTGAGTTTCATTTGAGATGCTGCACACTAAGTGTGTATTAAAAAGTGACAGTGCCCTCTTGAGGCTTTAGGAGGACGTGAGTACCTATAAATACTATGAAGTATTGTCAAAGTATATTGAATGGTGTCTCTTTGTGAGAAACAAAACTTGCCATAAATCTAAGCACAGTGTTGTGACAGTGTTGCAAATGGGATCATGGTCTCCTGAAGAAATCCAAGTGAAACATAAGGGTGGTTGGTTTTGGTGGGTTTTGGTTTGGTTTTTTTTGTTGTTTTTTTTTTTTGAAGATTAATAATTTTATAATGAGCAATGATTTTTTTGTTTGATTTTTAAAAAGGTTGTCAATCTGTTCTGAGGTACAGGCCCTGGTTTGGTTCATTTCGGTTTGGGTTTTTATACCTTCATTTTGGCTTATCTGAAAGGTTATTCTAAGCCTTTTTCTGTGGTTATCAGTAATTTGCTTGATGTTACTCAGGCATGAAGGAAAACAGAATATATTGAAATTCAGATGTATTACAGTGTTGTTAATAGTAGATGGCATTTCTGGTAGTATTTTCTGAATTTGATGGTTGATATTTCAGTTTTAGTCATTGTTCATTAAAAGATCTAATGACCGACAGGATAACACCCATAGTCACTGATCTAAGACTGAATAGATGATACAGTTTAAAGAATGTTTTGATTTTCAGATCATGTTACTTGAAAAATAAAACCTCAACACATACAACAGCAAAATGCTGTATTTTTGTAAACTGACATCTTGAAAGTGGCTCACAAACCAGATTTCATCAGCTTCCTCCTCCTCTCCAGTTTTACATATTTGTTTCATAACTCTTTTGAGAGAGAATCTGTGGGAAACAATACAATAAAGCAAGCTTTAGTGTAGCAGAGCAGCATGACTCATTTACAGCTGCTGGTTTCATTCCTGGTCGATGAATGAAGTGCTTTCAGCTTGTCTGGATATAGTAGTTCTGGGGCTTGTTGTGGAATGAAATAATTTTGCATATTGGGCTCTTATGCACCAGTAGCATCATCTGTAAAGTGTAGGAGTCATCTGAAAAATGAATAATCGTTGGGTTTTTTCCCCCTATAACACTTCAGATGAATTTCTCCTTATGCACTTACTAGCAGTGTAGAGCTAGCACTCCTTTTGTAAAATATTTAAAAAAATAAATTATATCAACTCTGTACTGTTAGTTTGCTAAATAGCGCTTTTTTTTTTCCTTCTTCCTTCCACTTCACCTCATCTAAACTTCTAATGGTATGAGTAGAATGTGAGGGGCCATAACAGTTCTGCTGGATGTTATGCTTTGGAGTTGCACATTACTGTTCTTTACACTGAAGAAAAAAATCTGTTAATGAAACTAATTACTTAAAATGAATACTTACTAAAATGCTGGTTAATGAAATGAGTACTTACTCTAGTTGTAGTCTTGGCTCTAGCTAGCAAGAGATTGTGAAGTTCATGTGTTCAGCTGTTTCTAATTGAGCATAAAACCCATTGTTTAGTATTTGAGTCAACATCAGTGATATCAGATGCATAGCAGCAAGTTTTGTTGCTTTCAAAGGTGGGTTTTAAAATTGTTTTTGATGAGGAAATAACAATATTATAAATTACCCTCTAATATATCAAATGTCACAAAGACCTCCTCCAGACTAGTAGGTAACTGGAGAAACGGAACTTCAGGAAAGGAACTGTCTGACTGTTTGAGTCAATTGTTTCTTTCACTTTCTGAATACACTGGATTAATACCTTGGGAAAGTTGTTGAGAAGAAAGGAAAATGGAAAATAACCCCCCAAATTTCTTACAAGTCACTATTGTATAAAGTAAGTTCTTTTAATATGGTAATACAAACTGAGTGATTTCTCTTTCCTTGCTGGTTGTAATTTAAAAGGTGCGACAATCGAATTGCAGTGCTTTTCATAATTTCTGAGCTAACAGAATGTGGCTGTGTAGTGATGACCAAGGACACACATCTGAGTGTTGATCTGCTGTCTCAAATCATTACAACAGACAGTGTTTCATCGTCTTGATGCATGTCATTTTTTCTGTGTAGCTGATCAAGTAAGTCTAAGTAAGTGGTATGAGAGAGAAGGGACATCTGCGCTATGAAGTGCATAGGGCTACCTTCCATTCTTAATTTTTTTAATTGAAAGCCCGTGTGTTCCTTGGATTATTTTCTGATACTGTGGTCTCAGTTTTTAAAAAAAATAGCCTTTAAAATGTGATACATATTTTGAAGAAACTACATGTAGGATGCATGATTTGTAACACAGGCAGTTTATAATTAATCTGTTTCTTTTTGTTTCATTGCAGCAGATGCAATTAATAATGCAGCAGGGTTTGGTTTTAGAGGCTATGATAAAAATGGAGTGACACGCTGGGATCTAATATCAAATCTGAGAATCCAGCAAATAGAGGTTTGTTTCTGGCTCTTTCACATGAAATATATGCCCGTGTAGGTAGTTCCTTGTAATTTCAGTAACTTTTCCTACGCGTTTTGTTCCTCAGGATAAGTGAGTATGTTCTAAATCAGAAATGACGTGTTCACACCCTTAGGAAAGGATCAAAAATAGTCTGTTTTGAATGTATGCTGCTTGTCAGTTGACTTCCAAAATACTTTGTGGTTTTGAGTAGTTGAGTGAGTAATTTATTCAACTCATCGGAGTCGGGATTTTTTTTATAATTTATACATCAGAATTTTTGTAACTTTACAATCACAGAAATAATTTGTTTTTATTTTACAGTTTTCCACAAGTTTCAAGATGTTTCTTGATAACTGGAATATCCAAACAGCTCTTTGGCTTAAAAGGTATTTGTTAAAAGAAAGCTTTTCTTCACTGCAGTTTCTTAGATAAATATTTCTTTGAAGATAATATAACATTTAAAGCTAAACTTTACAAAACATCAGTTGTTTAGCAACTGCATGGGACATTCTTCCTGTAAAACTTGAATTAAAGCTTCTGAATTTAGGGCTTCTCTTTTAGAGTAAGTTTCTATCAGGTTGTGATAGAAACTGTTTTTCTTCACTGGCCAAAGGGAATCTGAAACAACTAATCTGTGGAGACACCTCTTGTTTTGCTGTCTCTTAGCATTGAAAGCAGTGCATGTCGCTGCCAGCAGCAGGCGAAATGTACATTTTTAGCCTCTGGAAGCGGCAATATTTTAGCCACACAGTGATATAGGAACTTCCATACATTCTGTGAGACAACCTTCCATAGTGAGTGCATAGCAAATATTAAACCCTACAATGTGCTGTCAACAAAAACTGCAAATTAATATCCCTCAGAGGCACTTTTTTCCTTGTCTGGGAAACAGATATAGTGAGTACCAGTGAACTACATCATTCTGCTTTTTACTACTACTTTGTGGTAAATAAAAAGCAAAAAAGTGTTCTTGAGTAGCACACAGGTGTGGTTTCCCTTCTCCAAGTCTCTGTTCAGTTGATCTTTTATCAATAGGCACAATTTTAACTAAGACCCCTGTCTTGAGATCACTCGGAAGACTTTATGTTTTCTCTAGGATGACTGGCAACAGAAAGAAATCTGGTGGAAGAAACATTCTAGTGTATCCCGTGTTCTGTTTTCTTCCGTAGTTTCTTTCCTAAATATTTTTCTGACCCAAGTGAAAACAGAAGCTGAATTTTATGTGATTATTCTATTTGACTCAATAGGCAATAGAATCTGTTGCTGGGACAGCCAGCAAGGAAGAGCTGCATGCTTTCAGGTATTGAAATGAATCATTTAATAAATCAAGTAAGCTATTAGGTATTTTAAAATGCATTTTATTTTAGCTAGAGAACAGAAGTTTATCAGTGTTAAAACTTAATAGGAAAAGGTTGTGTTTCAAAAAACTTTTGAATCTCCTAAATGAAATGATTCTAAATGAAACTTTAGTGCTGAAGGAGTTCATTCTTTTTGTCTAAAGAAAATGCCTAATTCCATTTGTCTTTGGTCATATTTGCAAAACCTTTGTGGTTTCTGTTGCTCTCTTCTGGCATCTGTCCAAACTTCCTGTCTTCTTACAGTGGATGTAATACTTCTGCTACAACTTCTGAGGTCTTTCCATGGCTTGTTACTGGCAGAGTTGAATGATCTAAGTGGATTCATTACCTATATTGTCTTCAGATAACACTCTAATACATTACAGTATTACATCTTTTTTTGCAGCAGCAGCGTACTGTTGAGCTAATACTTAATGTTTCATGCTGTTGATTCATATTTGGCTACATTCTTTAGGAATGGGTACTTGTTTATATCTTCTAGTTTTCTTGTTAGATGGTCTATACTTTGGACTTTATCAAGATAATTTTGGATTCTAGTGCTCTGTCTGCTAAGAAAACAATATCAAGTCTTGTCCAAACTACCTTCTGCCCCAAAAAAGGAAGGGAAGATGAACTGGAAACATATACTAATCAGTCTACCCAAGCTAGTAATAACAGAATAGAACCAGACCAAAGGCAGTACCTTCCTGAACAGTTGATGCTCTTTCCACTTCTGGAGCAAATTATGGATATGTTCACCTGAGTCACCTGTATTTGAATAGATTTTCTCAGCCTGTTGTGATGACCATTGTTTCCTTGGTTTGCTTTTAGGCATGTCAAGTGAAGCATTTCAGTGCTACTTGTTACTGACTAATTCATGGAGATGTTTAGGCTTACTTTTTAGTCTTTGAAATTGAAGCCTAGATTATATCTTATCTGAATTTAGCTAGTTAAACTCCTGAATTCTTTGTAGGGGACAATTTGTAAAGTAGTTAAATAAAAAAAGGTTGAAGCCATTTATCAATGTTTTTAATGAGACAATTAACCACCAGTCAGTGAAATATACATGCAGAGTTAATACCAGTAATACAGCACATGACAATGTATGTGTTCAGTGTTCTGGTTCAATAAACATTTCTTAACACTCCTCTGTAACTAATCCCAAGGAGTTTAAAAAGTGCACTTGTACACACACAAGTATATGCAAACTGCGCCTCCAATTCCAAGGACATATGAGATGCAAAACCATCCCTCCTTCTGGAATTGTGGGCCCCTGCTTGTGTGCACTGCCTGTGCAAGGTGCAAGTTCTCCAGCTCTATGTGAACGTTGGATTCATGTGCCTATTAGACAAGCATACCACAAATTCACATGTACGCAGCTGATAGGGATGAGACATTGCTCTCTGTGTACTGCAAACTGCAGTGATGGGCCCCTGGCTGGATCTAGTCCACTTGGTATCTACCAGGGAGGATGCTCTGCATTGACCAAGACAGAGGTCATGATGTTGGTGGGGCAACTTCTATCAGTGTCAGACCAAGTTTTCATGACTAGTATTTTGCTCCCCGGTGTCTCCCTGACTTGTTACAAATTTTCCTAATGCTTTTTTACTTTCTAGGCTGAGGGATTCTTTGTGTCAAAAGTCTCTTTCAAATTCCCTCGTTACTGTTTAGTCTGGCTCATGTTACTTTCATGTCTGAGTTGGTCTGTTTTGGGCAAATGTCCTCAGATAGCTTTGTCTGTTACACATGTATGCACCTGCACCTTGCTTAACCCCATGTTCTCGTCTTAATGGCCATTGTTCGTGAAGCCCCTTGACAGGGAGAGGAGGGTTGAGCTGGTACCCTGCACTGAAGACCTTATAGAATAAAACTTATCAGAGTACTTGACTGGAATATACTAAATCACCAAAGTACACTTTTGATATTGCCCTATTCAGATCATGGCTTTTTATCTTCTCCTCTTTAACATTAACTGTATCCTTTGGGTTGGCAATCTCTTGTGTATGTGGAAGTCGTAGTGAAGTAATTACATTAGCAGTGAATGTTCCGTCCCTATGTATCATCTTCTATTAGCTTGTCGTCTTTGAATAATAGCCATACATTCTTTTCCTCTGTTACTTGCTGTGTGCTTATAAAAACCTTTTACATACTTGTGTCTATGGCCATTTCAGTTAAAACTCATTTTTGTGCGTTAGCTTTAGATTTGTGTTCATGCATGCTTGTGCTGTTTATTTTTGCTTCATGTTAGTGTGTATCTGTTTCCATATTTCCTATTGCTTTTTGGTTTTCAGATCATTAAAGAAATTAAAGAAATCTTGATGAAGCCATCCATATCAGGACCTTACCATGTTTCCTATCATTCTTCCACATCATGATGGTTTGTCATTGTGTCATTTAATGTCTTCTAGGAGCTACCTGTGTTGGATTCATTTTTCTGCTTTTCCTTCTAGGATTCCGTACTGTAGGACCTTGCCTAATAACAGAGTCTCAAATTTTAAATAGCAGAGTTCAGCATTCTCCTTATTTGATATTCTCACATCCTTAGAGTCACTAATTACAGTTTCATCGTCGTGCTCACCTAATTGCCATACACAGATACATTACCCACTGTAGCCTCTCTGTTACACAAAATTAAGGTAGTTGTTATTTTCCCCTTCTCCTATAAAATTCTTTCATTTTATGAAAATATACCTCTGACTCATCACAGAAATTTGTGGAGTGCTCTCTGCCTTACAGCGCAGCTTTTCCAACATGTTCTTGGATGGCCCAAGATCCCTTATGAACACTGTCACCTGTTTTTGGATGCTTATGTATCACTTCATTATAAATAAGTACTGTATGTGATGGCACTGGGAATAGGTTAGCACTGAGGGGTTAAATTGGGAGCTACGAATAGCTTTAAGTATTTTCTGTAAGTTGTAATATAGTGGCAACATTGGTATATAAAGGTAAACTGCAGTCGTATTGTAAATGTTGTGTTGGAGAAGAAATTACCAAAAGTACAAATGTATAATTGATAACTGGGACGACTGTTGGTGGTTTGTCTTATGTTATTTGTCTTGAATTGTCTTTGACTTCCCAGAGTGTGCTACGAGCGCGCTGCCTTCAGCCCAACGATCCAGACCTTCATCCTTTCTGCCATTTGGCACGGGGTTTACCCAGGATATTACTTAACATTCTTAACAGGAGTACTAATGACGCTAGCAGCACGAGCTGTAAGTACCAACCAAGTATCTACTTAAATAATACTAAGTTTTGTAAAAGGAAATTGATCATGTTCTGTAGTCCAATAACACACTTTACAGTTGATATACACTCTGTTTGGTAGTGGAGTTTGCTTTTGTTTGATATGAGAGCAGTGAAGATGACTAATTATGGGAAGGGGTTGATCAGTGGAAACAAGCAAGACTGTATACAGCCTATAAGTCTTTGTATCATATCTTTTGTGGAAGCTCTTCCTCTGGATTAACTGACCATGTGTTGTTATGCCATGCTGAAAAGAATCACGTTATCAAAGATCATTTTGAAAAAAAATCTGATTATGGAGAAAAAAAATCACTGATAAGTAATTTAAAATTTGGAAGCCAATGCTGTACGTCAACAAAGTCCATTCCCTCCCTAATTGCATCCAGTACCTTGTAAAGATGATAACTAAAGAATGCTTCCCCTCAACCAGCAGATAAAAATCTCTCATGCAGTTACTATTCAAAACTGGCCAGCCAGCAGTGCAGTCATATTAATGAGCTTTTGAAGCCCTTATTCAGAACTGTATGGAACCAGCAAAACTGCTAAGAAATCTCTCACAGTTCTGCCTGAGAAAGCTGCTAAGAGCAGTGGCAGGTTTATCAGTTTCTCATTGGGAAAGAGGAACAAACAAATCACATCAGCTCAGAGCAGCATAACAGACCATTTTTCTGTTAAAAGAACTAGGAGAATAAGAAATGAAGCAGGCTGTTCTTCGTTGCTGTAATAGCTAGGGGAAAGTGGTACTTCACATTTCAATGTGTCATTGCATGTGACAATAGGAGAAAACTGCGGGGAGATGGCAGGATGAAGGGAATGTGGCTAGAATTACTTCTACAGGTGAATTTGGGTAAGAAGGACAAGAAGGATAAAAAAGGTTTTTAATGTAAAGAATGAAATCAGCAGGAGCTAGCCTTGGATATGTTCTTCTGAACAAGGAGTTTTAAAGAAACTGAAGATTGGAGACGCTGAACTGTATACTTAGGTGTGCAACTCATCAGAATGCAAGTGACTGGAAGGTGAAAGCAGCACAGAAGCTCAAATAAGAGTGTCAGAAAATAGGAGTGTGAGCAAGGATGACAGTTCAGTTGAAGGAAGGAGGGATGAGTATCTACTAGTGTCTTTTTCATTACAGACTTAAATAAAACTGAACCCAAACCTGTGTGGGTTTGGGATTTTTTTAATACTTTTGGTATTCCATTGTTTGCACAGAATTTTATGAGCAAAAGACTCAGCATAGAAAACTGAGTAATTTTATAATAGTGCCCTTGATACTGGTTGTTATCAAGACTCCTGAAATGTCACTAGACCTGATATTTTGTATATTCTGATTTATACCCTACTCATCCTAAAATATGTCTTATTCGCAAGTATGTGAAAAAGGCTTATCATATACAAATTTTCAACAGAAGCACTCTGGCTTTCATTTACTCCAACACTATTTACAGAATGGCTTTATGAGATACAATGTCTGCCACATTCAGACAAGCAGTCCAAAGTAGCATTGGATTTAGGGGGCATTAACTTTAAATTCTGCTTAAATTCATAAATACTTACATTCCTGTGCTGGATGCAGCATGGTATTCTAAAAGGCAGGGAATCTGAACTGGCTCCTGTTAAAGTTGATGGGCATTTTGGGGAGTTCAGAGATGACTGACCAAGCTGTAGCATTTAAATTCATTCTATGAATTTTGTAGAAGTGCAGCAAACTCTGTACAGTAATATAGCTCTCCAAGTTATTACTAAGCTAATTTACTGTTATCTGCTTTTTCAGATAAGAAACAATATCAGACATTATTTTGTTGACTCTCCTGCTGTTAAACTATGTTATGATATTGTAACGTGGATGGCAACTCAAGTAGCAATAAGTTACACAGTTGTGCCGTTTGTACTGCTCTCTGTAAAACCTTCTATCACCTTTTACAGGTAAGCATATTCTACCTGTTTCCTTTTTCTTTGTATTTTCTATGGCATCAGATTTCGGAAGCTTTTTTAGTGATAATTATGATTGATCTGTTAGCTGAGCAAACTGTATTTCTGTTCTAGTGGTCAAACATAGTTTGTGTACTAAGAAAGCAGAAAGCACTCTCGTTTTCCTGTTATAATGGACTTCCGTTTCCTGGGGCTGGGTGGGAGTGGGGAGGGGAAACAACAGGCAAGAAGAAAACCAGAGAGTACCCCTGGGATTATTGTGTGCACTGGAATAGTTTTAGAGCAATACGAGATAATGACTTCCCAAAAGTAACTTGTAAAAAAAAAAAAAGTTGAAAGCAGACTTGTATTCACTTCAAATCTCTGCTACAGCACCAAGTACTACGAGGGAAGACTTAATTTCTGATTTCCCCTTTATTACATTTTTTAAAGGAAATATTAATGTCTTCCTGTTTTACATGCAAATAATGCAAGTAGGTTTTGACAGTGTATTCCTTAAACATCCTGTGAGAGCAGTTCAGGTTTTACTGAATTGTTATTTTTGTTTGTGTTTTAGCTCCTGCTATTTCTGTCTTCATATTGCCAGCATCCTGGTGTTGTTGGTATTTCCACTGAAAAGAACTCAAAAAGGAAGTAAAAGGCATGAAAGCGTCCAGCCCATATGGTCCAAAAAACTAGAAGAAGAAAATCTTTTGCAAAAGAACAGTTATTCCACAACAAATAATAGTTTCAGTCAAAAGCAAGAAATAACCTGCAGATATCAAGCATTGAAACAGTGATTGAGGAAATACTATGATGAATATATTTTATATGTTTTCAGAAACCCATTTTTAGCACCTTTTAAAGGGGTTTGTATTTGTTTGCAAAGATGTTTAGTAAGAAAAGAATGCATTACCTACCTAGGAAAATCACATACAATAGCAAGACTGGAAACAAAACAAATTAACCCCTCCCATGCCATGTCCCTGTGGGTCACGCCTTATATGAAGATATTACCATTATTTCAATGGGCACTCAGGACTTGCAACGTATGTCCATAGGGTCATATGTGTGCCCTTTGCTGAATGTACGTTGTATCCCAAGGCACTGATGGGGTGGAATAAAATTGTGTCAATCTAGGATTAACAAATGGAAATGGATTTTTTCCAAATGAATGACTTGCCTTAAACCCTCTATTTACTGAAATATTGTTTCTAAGTGGGTATTTTCAAGTTTGGTTTTATGTAAAAAGCATATTTCAAATATATAATACTATATGCTATAAAGAAGATAAAAATAGGAAATGCAAAGTCATTAGAAGGCTTTTGATCTTCAAAAGGGAATTGCAATAAGCATCTCAGTATTTGGAGGGTTTTCTTAAAGTATCTCAAACTATTACAGTACATTACAGAACTGTAAACTTTACTGATGCCAAATTATAGTTAGGTTTCTTTGATAAAGAGTATAATTACACATAGCCCTTCTGAATCGATTAACGAAATATAAAACACCTAAAGGTTGACCTTTTCTAGGGCTTGATGGCCCTAATTTAGGTTTCTTTTACTTTGAAGCACCTAAACCCAATAAAACACTGCCAGATGGGCTTTGCTGCTAGAGAAGGCAGATGTAGGACACAGAACCCAACGTGCAAGCACCAGGATTTCAATGGAAGTGTGTTTTTACTCTTAAATACCAGAAATACTTGTTCTAGCATAGAACTGTTTTACAAAACATGATTTTAAATACTTATTTTCAGTCTTCAGGCATACAACAGTTATTTGATGCTTTCTGTATAATGCAGTGAAATTACCTTGAGCCCTAGTGCAAACATGGTCAAACATGAAATTGCTATAATAACCAGTTTCTGTATGCTTGATAATTGATTGCCCTTTATCCAAAGAAGTATATGAATTTGAGGAAAAGCTTTTTCTTCAAATTAGAATTTTAGATGCAAAGTTCACATCTCATTTGTCAGTGATGTTATAAAAGAAAGAAATCCTTTAGAACAGCTGATGTACTGAATTATGACAGTGTGTCAAGGGAATAATTCAGTGGTTATATCTATTCCAGACCATTTATTGTGACGGTGGTCCCTGCTAGAGTACTACTGTTAAAGGGCTACATTTTAATTCCTTGTATTCTGTATTTTCATATAATTTTTTTAAGTAAACACAAACTGTTTATCTACATGGGTTTTTTCTTTTAGCTTTAAAACTGACACAAAATACTACCAGATAATTCAGCTTGTTGATTAATAACCTACAAATGAACAAGGAGAAAAATTTTGTCATATTTTGAACCTTAAAGCTTTCATCAAGTATCTGGCACTAGTGGGGTCAATATTCTTAGTACCAGAAGTCCAATGATGGTCCTCAAATTTGGGGATATTACCATGCAAAAGAGTCGCAGTACTTCTGGCTTACTCTCTCAAGAACCAGATCCGAAGTCAGGTCTGAGTTCTTTGTTGTGCTAGTTCTTTGTCTGGCCTTTGGCCTAAAACTCCAGGAGGATAACATACTTTTTCCGTAAGTATAGGTTAGCGCTAATTAACCTACACAATTAGAAAGGGGGAGCTAAATATGAGAGTGGATGAGTCTGTTCAGATGAGTAGGGATGTTTGTTGTTTCAGTGACAGCCGTGTTATCTCTAAAATGAAATAATCTGACTCCTAAATCCTTGCTTTCCATACCCAAGTAGACTTTCCCTTACACGGGGTTGTGGTTTTCACATGCCTCTTTGACATGGGGTTATGGGTTGGGTTTTTTTCCTGTTGCTTATCAGTAAGGGCACACTAAGTTATGTTTGATTCTCTTTCCTGATTCTGTATCTAATTAAGGATATTTTCCCCCTTTCTGTTCCTGAAGGCACATTTACATAAAATGAGAAATCTGAATTGCACATTTCTGAGGGGGTGAATAAAATTGAGTTGATTCTTTCAGTATTTGTTGCTGTTGATCTTAAATGCATTTTCTGGTGCAGCCTACGTATCAAACAAGCACTTTCAAATGCCAGTACATCATCTAACGTTCCATTAATTTCCCATTAATGTTCTGGTACTCTTGTTTTGGCATGTGTGCCCATGTGTGTGGTGGAGGCTTACTAATTCTTCATTCTGAAATACAAATGTAGTTGTAAGCGCTCCCAGAAGATAGGCAGGTTTATGATAGCGAAGGCTTGTACTTCAGTGTGAGTGCATTCACAGGAACAGTTTTATTCAGAACTTTTGTATGTGGGGAATTTAAACCAACTAAGAAAATAAGTACATTATTTAGTCGGGCAAAAGTGGTAAGATATATGGGTTTCAAAATTGGATGTGACTTTTTTCTTCATTATTTGAACCCCTTAAATAAGTGCAACACAAGAAAATTATGACAGTGAATTAGTTCTGCACAGAATTTATTTTCAAGTGTAGTGTCCTAGACTTTACCTTTTAAATGGCATTGCTGAATATAAAAGTACTTTGAACCAAAACCTACTCTTCGTGCAAGTCTCTTGGGGACTATGGAAAGAGGTTTTTTTGTTCTAATGGCAGCACTCTGATTTCAGTCAAACTGGGATTTTGTTGTTGCTCTCCCTCTGCTTTCCTAGTTTTCTGCCTTGCTGTCACACTGGATCTTTTTATCCATTCAAAGTCAAAAGCAGCCAGCCCCAATGCTTTAGATAATTTTTACGTTTTACACACATAATTTTATAATACTGAATTTGAAAGGATGGTGGTGATTTATTATTACTCTTGCTGAGAAAAACAGGAAAAAGTAAATTTCCTAGAAAAGTTTTGGGCATGAAGGAAACCTGGTTTTAAGTGTTCTTTCGCTTATTAACTAATATATATCCAAAAAGCAAAAGTGTTTTCTGTATTGCAGGTCAGCACACTATGAGAAGTAAATACAACATATCATTCATAATTTTATGGTGCTTTGCAGATACTTGCCTATTGTGAACAATTCATTGAGACACTTAATGAGTTAATGTTAGTAAATGTAGTCACCCTGATAGTAACTATTTGCTTGCTTAACCTTTTTCAACCTTTATGATTCTGTATTAATGAAAGAGTTATATATTTAAATAATACTGTCAGTGGTGCCTACTACTGTTGTTATTGGGAAGGCTTTGTTAGCTTTACAGTTACAGGTATGCCCTTATTCGGGAAACTTATTCTTACATGGCCATTCCTTAAGTTGACATGTAGACAAGGTTTCAGTAATAGGTGACATTTTAAAATATATTACCATGTAAAAATATTGGTATGCATTTCAATATGCTCTTGATAAGAATTCATATTAGTGAGAAGACTTTACAAAGAGATATTTGTACATTCCCTGCTCTACACTGACTTGTGGTATGAGTTTTACCAGTATAGTATATTATTTATTAGAAGAATTTTACACTGAAATAACTTGTTTTTTCCCCTGTGGTAATAAGTCATACGAATATAACTGCTACACTTGTATGACAGGATGCACGGTAGGTAGTTGTGCCTCTTTTGATGGCATTGATTTGTTTAGTGTTAAAATGTCCTCTGATGCAAGAGGACACTCTTATGAGCTCTTCACATCTTGTCAAATTCATATCAAAAGTAATTTTAACAGAATCTGAATTTTTCTCTTGGAACCTTTGCAAACAAATTGTTGACAATTTGTTTAAATACATGATCAAATGTGTCCTCACATTCACCTGCAAATGTGTCACAGTTGCTTACATGTAAACTTTCACATGTTCAACTTTTTAAGGTGGCCTCAAATGAGAAATTTAAAAGCACAAGTTATTAATTTTGGCTTTCATTTTCCCCTGTCCTTAAGTCTTTCACTTTGTAAATCTCATTGAATTCTGAAATCAGGGTTGAGTTTTTTCATTATCAGTGACGATTTGGAAATACTGCCATTTGTGTGGAAAAAGTGATCAGTGTTAGAAAAACAGGTGGAAATAAATTTAAGGATTTTGATGTGAAGCAGACTGTGAAGTATAAAACATATATAATGGTTCTGTGCTGATTCATCACAGTGTTTCACTACATGACTGGCCTTTATGTGTGTATTTAACTCCAGTAATACTTTGAACAGCACTTGGAAGTATTTTTAAATTTCCTGGTAAAAAAATCAATTGGATATGTGTATTTAAAGTTGAACAAGTATTTAAATGCTATGCTGAGTAAGTATCAAAGCAGATGCTCATGTGAATTGAGCCTACTTTCATTAGATTACCAAGTGAATTGAGCTGGCTTTCATTAGATTACCAGATCTAATATATATATATATATATATATATAATATCTAAGCTAGTTTGCACTGTTAGTCTTGATCATATTCATAGTCATGGTGGAAAAGCTGGCTGTGAAGAAGCCTCTGCTAGTGGCTGGGAGGATTTGCCACAGCATTTCTTGGGGGAGAGCTGACCGTATCTGTTGAGCTTGACAGGATCTGCTTGCTTGTCACCCAGGCTGCAACGCTATTCTAAACCTCCTTAGATTTTTTGATGTGTTTGCTGTTTCAATCAAGACATTTGGCAAACACCATGAAATCCAGGCATCCACAGTCACCCTGCCACGTTACAACTGCAAATACTTCAACAGTTGATTGTTATGGTCAAAACAAAATAAAAAATCTTAACTTGTTTTGAGATCAGCTTTGTCTATATTTTTTGCAAAATCTAATTATCAGCTGTATCAATTTTCATGCCATTAAGTATTTAAAAGATATTTTTGCTCATTTTGGGTATCCAAATGTGCAAAAGCAAATTTTGGCACTTCATCATCATCATCTGTGCATTAGCTGTGTGTCCAGTGACTTAGGCCTGGTTTTGGTTTTAGACATTTTTAGAATTTTTTAAATCCATGTATATGTCCATATAAACATTGGGTAAACTTTATGAGTTAACAGACTGAAGTTGCATATAGTGTGCATAAATACACTTAAAGTAGTAGGCCATGTCAGTATCTACATGAGGCTAGTGTTGAGCCCTCTGGTTCTATAAGTCATCTGCTGAAGGCTATTGGGCTCTGCTCTCAGAGTACTAACCTTCCTGCTTCCTAAAGTGAAGTTAGAATCTGTTGGTTACACTCTAAGTGGAAAGTAAAGGGCTTCTTTTACTCTGTTGCAAAACCAACCCTTACAGGATATTCTGCTGCAGGCTGTGAATACAAAGCTCGACTTCAGATATATGACTGAAAAACAAGTTAGAGCCACTTTCGGAGGAAACTTTATATTCAGAGTGACTCGGTTCAGCACCCAGAAGAGACATCTGTACAATCCTCCTTCCTTTTGTTCTCTAAGGGAGAAATGCCCCAAGCTGTATTTTAATTTAGGTTTCACTACACTGTCATATGAACAGATAGCTGTGATCCATGCTCTAGTCGGATTAGGCTTCCAAACTGTGACAATGTAATCTGAAACAAAGAGAAACAGGGTGCCCAAAGACCAGTAATCAGCATAGTGCAACACTACATATTAAAGGTGCAACAATCTTTTGTCACAATAAGTTAAGGAGTATTTGCCTATGCATATTTTGCCTTTCTATGTGTTTGAGCTCTCTTTACATTTTTTTCTTTGTACCTTCTTTTGTCCAGTGGTGTTGACTATTCCTATGAAGACTCTTCTGACATGTCTTACTGTGACAAAGGTGTCAAAATGATACAATAGTAATTAGGTAGTGATTCTTAAGTCCCAGACCTCAGATGTGTTCTAGATCAGTTAGAGAACATTCAAAATGTGTTGAAAGAAAAATCATGTAAGATGGGTAAATATAGCATTATTCAAAGACGTTGTACTAAGTTATTCAATTCAAGAATTTAAAATATGGAAATTGTTTCTTTCCTGCCTTGGTTACAGATTGAAGGGAAAAGTTTTACCTCAATGCAGAAGTAGTTATGCCTCCAACCACCCATACGTTAAGGTGAGATAACACCCCTCAAAGTGGATAGCTACAGTACTCCCAAATTTGCCTTTCCTGGTTCAGATTATAACGCATTGTCAGTGAATTTCATTTTTATTATTCCAAAATATATATTTTTTAAAAAGTGTTATTTTTCAACAGATCCATAAACTAAGTGTTGGTGTATGGTAAAATTAAAATACCACTGTTAGTTACACTGTGATTGTGATATTTTAATAATTACTTATTTCTAATTTGTCTCAGCAGTGCTGCAGAAGCAGCATGCTATTATGTTTTAAAGGTGTTTTTAACTTGCCTATGTTTTTTTTCTAATTTGTGTCTTTAAATCTGATTAAACTGTAGTTTAAAAAAAAAGCAACTTGTTTTTCTGATTTCTTTGGTGTCTGTCTTTAATGAATGCTAAAGAACAGAAGTATTTTTTAATGTGGTTTCCCCTTTTAGGTTATTAAACATTATGATGCATGCATTTACATGCACGTTATTTGGAGTGTTCTATTTTAAAATTGCTTTTTTAATTTGTTTTTTAGAGCTTATATATAAATATATATATCTAATTATTTTCCAGTAGAGCTGGTAAATAGAATTTCACAGCTGTTCTCTTGTTACTTGGGAAAGTTACTTATTCAACTTTAAACCCTCCATCTCCAAGCATATTACCTCACGTGCACTACTTCTGAATATGACAACTTGGGTGTTTTTAGCTTGAGAGATGGAAACTGCATAACTAACAAGTCAAAATCAGCCTTTTGAATAAGCTGGTGCCTTAATTGGTGGTTCCAAAGAAA